TGGTGATACAAAGAAAGGCAAAAACAGTCCCTTTTGTTCAGTCATTTCCAACTTTTTGTGACCCCATTTGGGGTTTTCTTTCTTTTCTTTTTTTTTAGTATTTCATTTTTTCCAATTATATTTAAAGACAATTTTTAACATGCATTTTTTACAAAATTTTGAGTTCTAAATTTTTCTCCCTAGCTCCCCTCCCTTCTTCCTAAAATGGTAAGCAATTTGATATATATGCAATCATGTAGAGCATATTTCCATATTAGTCATAGTTGTGAAAGAAGAAACAGACCCAAGTGAAAAAAGCACAAAAAATAAAGAAAGTGAAAATGCTTTGATCTGCATTCAGAGTCCATCAGTTCTTTCTCTGTATGTGGATAGCATTTTCCATCATGAATCCTCTGTAATTATCTTGGATCATTGTATTGCTGAAAAGAGTTAAGTCATTCATAGTTGATCATCACATAATGTTGCTGTTACTGTATATAATATTCTCCTGGTTCTTCTTATTTCACTTTGCATCAGTTCATATAAGTCTTTCCAAGTTTTGCTGAGATCTGCCTGTTCATCATTTCTTATAGAATAGTAGTATTCTATTACATTCATATACCACAAATTGTTCAGCCATTCCCCAATTGATGAGTGTACTCTCAATTTGCAATTTTTTGCCACCACAGAAAAAGAGCTGCTATAAATATTTTTGTGCATATATATGTCCTTTTCCCCTTTTTTATGATCTCTTTGAGATGCAGGCCTAGTAAGTGGTATTGCTGGATCAAATAGTATGCGCCGTTTGGTTGGCCTTTGGGCATAATTCCAAATTGCTCTCCAGAATGGTTGGATCAGTTCACAACTCCTCCAACAGTGCATTAGAGTCCCAATTTTCCCACATCCTCTCCAACATTTGTCATTTTCCTTTTCTGTTATATTAGTATGATAGGTATGAGATGATACCCCAGAGTTGTTTTAATTTGCATTTCCCTAATCAATGGTGAATTACAGAATTTCTTTATATGACTATAGATAACTTTGATTTCTTCATCTGGAAACTGTTCATATCCTTTGACCACTTATCAATTGGGGAATGTTTTATATTTTCTAAATTTGACTCCATTCTCTATATATTTGAGAAATGAGGCCTTTATCAGAGATACTTTCTGTAAAGATTGTTTCCCAGCTTTCTGTTTTCCTTCTAATCTTGATTGCATTAGTTTTGTTTATAAACTTTTTCATTTAATATAATCAACATTATCTGTTTTATATTTCACAATGCATAGGGCAGCTAGGTGGTGCAGTGAATAGAGCACTGGCCCTGGAGTCAGGAGGACCTGAGTTCAAATCCAGTCTCAGATCAGACACTTGACACTTACTAGCTCTGTGACCCTGGGCAAGTCACTTAACCCCAATTGCCTTGCAAAAAAAAAAAGGCAAAACATTTCACAATGCCCTCTATTTCTTGTTTAGTCATAAATTCTTCCCTCCTCCATAGATCTAACAGGTAGATTATTCCTTACTCTCATAATTTGCTTATGTTATCACCCTTTATGTCTAAATCATGTACCCATTTTGACCTTATCTTGATATGTGGTATAAGATGTTGGTCTATACCTAGTTTGTACGCTATTGTTTTCCAGTTTTCCCAGCACTTTTTGTCAAATAGTGAGTTCTTATCCCAGAGGTTAGGATCTTTGGGTTTATCAAGCACTACATTACTCTGATCACTTACTACTATATCTTGTGTACCTAATCTATTCCATTGATCCACCCATTTGGGGTCTTCTTAGTGAAGATAATGGAGTGGTTTGCCATTTTCTTCTCCAGCTTATTTTCCAGATGAGGAAACTGAGGCAAACAGGGTTGAGGAACTTGCCCAGGGTCACACAGCTAGTAAGTGATTGAGGCCAGAACATGAGTCCTGATTCCAAGCCCAGCACTGTATGCACTATGGTGCCACCTAACTGCCCTGTTCGCTGCCCTTAAGGAACTCAGAGTGTAATGGGGAGAAAACATGCAAATAACAATAAACGAATAAGATAGATTCAGGATAAATTAAAGGTAATCATGGAGGAAAGGCACTAGCATTAATAATAATAATGATAACGATAGCTAATATTTATAAGTGGCTCAGTGGATAGAGCTCTGATCCTGGAGTCAGGAAGAACTGGGTTCAAATCTGGCTTCAGACACTTACTAGCTGTGGGACCCTGGGCAAGTCATTTAACCTCTGTTTGCCTTAATCCACTAGAGAAGGAAATGGCAAACCACTCCAGTATCTTTGCCAAGAAAACTCCACAGACAGTATGGTCCACAGGGTCATGAAGTCAGACACAACTGAACAGCAACAAAAACATTTATATAGCACTTTTAGATCTGCAAAGTGCTTTACAAATGTTATTTTATTTCACATTTTATTTATTTCATAATAACCCTGGGAGTTATGTACTATTGTTATCCTCATTTTACAGAAAAAGAAACTGAGGCTGGCAGAGGTTAAGTGACTTGTCCAGAGTCACATAGCTAATAAGTGTCTGAGGTCAGATTTGAACTCAGGTCTTTCTGACTCCAGGTCCAACACTCTATATACTGTATCACCTAGCTGTCCCATTAAGGGGGAACAGGAAAGCCTCCTTGTAGAAGGTGAGATTTTATCTGAGGAAGCCTCAGCTTACAGGAAGCCAGGAAGCATGGTCAAGGAGGGTCAGTTCACTTTTAGAGATTTTTCATGTAAGGAATTTTCTCTCTTTAAAATGCAATAAGCCATAACCGCCTAGAGGCAACCTAGTATATAGATAAATGTGCTACACTTGGAGTCAGTAAGACCGGGGTTGAAATCCTGCCTCTGACAGAATTGGTAGTGGTGTGACCCTCAGCAAATCACTTAACCTTTGCATGCCCCAGACAACTCCATAGGACTGACTTACCAGAATCAGAGGTTATTACTTTATGTCCATGAAATTGCCCTTTTAATGTTTTGATAACTTTTTCAATATAATTGGTTTCCTGTGAAATAAAATATGTTTTATTTTATGGATTTTAAAAACATTCTTCTGAGAAGGGGTCCAGAAGCTTTACCAGGCTGCTCAAGGGGGCCATAATATTTTTTAAAAATCCTATACTAAATCATTATAGGTTGCTTCAATCTGATCTTCTTGGTGGAGCTAAGTTCCCATTGATTAAATCCCAGGCCCTCTAGGCATCCCTAGAGTCTAAGGCACAATAAGTGCTTATCAGTCATTTGGGCATTACTGTGAATGAGTGAATCCCTGGTGGTTCTCATTTATAACACCGAGGATCCAAGATCAGGTCTTCCTGGTGAGTTTTCCCTGCCATGGAAAAGAGTGGGAACATTTGTAGAAACATAGGGAAGCTGGCAAGATCAAGCCAAGATTTGACATCCTTCTGAAAGAGGATGGGAATAGGATGTCCTTCCTGGGTCGCAGAGAGCAGGGGAGGAAAGATGAAGTAAGTGCTGGAGGCACATCTTTTTTTTCTGCTCTTTAAGAAACACTCATCCCAGTTTGATGTATTATAAAGAAAGTCTTATCCTGGAAGTGACTGGCTGCAAGTCAGGAGGAATGAGGGAGCAGAGAAAGAGGCATAAGTGTGCTGGGATTTTGCCCAAGTACCTTAATTTCTGCACTGAAGTGTCTCTTAGGTGCTAACCCACCTCCCCTTCCAAGACTCCTCTCATTTATTGTTATTGTTTGGTTACGTCTAACTCTTCATGACCCTATGGACTTTTCTTGGCAAAAATACTAGAGTGGTTTTCCATTTCTTTCTCCAGTATGTCTCCATTTTACAGATGAGGAACTGAGGCAAATGAGGGTTAAGTGACTTGCCCAGGGTCACACAATAAGTGTCTAAGGCAGGATTTTAACTCAGGTCTTGCTGACTCCAGGCCCACTATCCACTGTGCCACCTAACTACCTTCTTCTCCCATCTCCCTACTTTTTCTAGGGATTGAAGGGACTTCATTTCCCAATTCCTCCCCATTAAAAAAAAAAAAGTCCTCCCAGGTTCATCTGGGGCCTGCATAGCTGCAAGGCTCTGTTTGTCTTCTGCCTTCTGGAAGAGGAGCAGAGACAGATCCCCCAGATGTCTCCCCACAGAATGTCCACAGTGGGGCAGCCAACCTGAGCAGTTTCACACCTTCCTCATTTGCTCTTCCATTTCCTTCTTGGCATTCATCTCATTGCTTCAAGAATAAGTGTTTTTCCCCCAAGATATGCCAAATCAGTAAGGGTGCTTTGTTCATGCCTCTTCCCCTACTCCCATCCCTAAACAGTTGATAATATGGTTGAAAGAGGAATTTAGTTCAAATCCTGCCTCAGATACTTCCTAGCTGAGTGTCACTGATCTATCCCAGTCTCAGTTTTCTCATCTGTAAAACTAGTGTTATGATAGCATCTATCTCCTAAGGTTGTTGTTAAGAATCATAAGAGATCATATATGGACAGTGCTTTGTAAACCTTTAAGCACTGTGTAAATGTCAGTTAATATTATTGTGGTCTAGGAAAGAGAGCATTTTCCTATCTACTTTCTGAAAGATAGCGAGTCGTGGTAGCAAAGAGGAGAATTTCTCTCTCCTTAGAGGCAAGCCAGGGGTACGGAATCCCTTCCAGTAATACCTGAACATGTATCTCTAGCACTAATGCTAAGCCTCACTAAACCTGACCCTATCTCCCCCTGTCCTCCCCCCTTTCCTACTGTCTGGGCAGCAGTACCTGATTCCAGTTAGCATTGAGTGATGGATACAAAAGTATTGGGAAAGGATAAGCCAGGACTACAAGGAATGGTACTACCCAACTTCCTAATTGCCTTCCGCTTCTCATTATTCTATTTTCTATTTGTCTATCATCCTTCATTCCACATCATGTTATCTGTCCATTATCCTTTCTTCTCTCCCCATCTCTATCAGAGGACCCAGATTCTCCTTGGGGCTGGCCTATTCCACCACCATCCCCAATCCCTTCTCACAGACTTTCCCCTCCTCCTCTTTCCTCCTGCAGATATGGGAAGTTTTGAAGAGGGTGAGAAGCACCAGAGTGTCTCCCACGGAGAGGCAGCTGTCATCAAAGCCCCTCGAATTTCCAGCTTCCCCCAACCTCAGGTCACCTGGTTCCGGGATGGCCGGAAGATTCCACCCAGCAGCAGAATGTGAGTACAGTTGTCCTCATGGGGCAGGTCAAGTTGGGTAGAGGCATTCACACCAAGTTGTCATCAGGCATAGACCAGACATCTGGAAGAAACAATAGAGCAGCCCCCTCAGGGAAATTTTTTTTCAGTCATTGTTGACTTTAGGAGGAGAGGGAACATATCTTGGGTTATTGGTGAAACGGTCTTGGAGAAGTCAAAGAGAGAAGTTATTGAGAGAAATGAGCTGCCTTGGAATGAGGGCTACAAAGGAGAGACTGCATTTTACCCAATGTGGGGAATTTCAAGGGATGAGGGGAGAGGAGAAGAGAGAGAGACAAAGACAGAAAGAGAGAAGGAGGCAGGAGAGAGAGAGAGAGAGAGAGAGAGAGAGAGAGAGAGAGAATGAATGAGAAAGGCAGAAAGGGAGACAGAGATAGAGTCACATAGAGTCAGAGACACAGAGATATCCCCAAATCAGTCTTTCATTCATTCTTTCATTCAGCAGCATTTATGAATCACAGATATCAAATTGGCTAGGGCCATCCACTATGAAAAGCCCTGGGAATACAAATACAAAAGCAAAAAACAAAACAAAACAAAACAAAAACCAGTCTCTGCCCTCAAGGAGCTTGTATTCTAATTGATGGAGAAAAGACATATATAGGAGTGGTGGTGTTGTGGTTTGGGAAGTCACTGGGTTGGTGTGACAAGTCAGAGGAGAGGGGCAGGTCTTTTCTAGTAGCTATGGCAGTATTGATTTGACTGGGGATCTGAAGCTGGAAAGGGTGGGCTTAAGTAGTACTTGCATGGATGCAAAAGATGGCAAAAAAAAAATGGAAACTGATCTAGAATATGAAGCATGGCTCATGGCTGAGGCTACCCAGAAGTCCATGTGACAACAATCACCAATCAGGGAAGAAAGTAAGCATCTATATAGCACCTACTATGTGTCAGACACTGTGCTAAACACTTTTTGCAAATATTATCTCATTTGATTCTCACAACAAACCTGCAGCATTGGTGCAGTTATGATCCCCACTTTACAGTTGAGGAAACTGAGACAGAAGTAGGTTTAGTTTTTTTTAGTTTACTTGCCCAAGGTCACATAGCTAGTAATTATCTGAGGTCAGATCTGAACTCAGATCTTCCTGACTCCAGGCCCAGCATTTTATCCACATGCCACTAGCTGCCTCTGGGATCTGATGGATCCCCAGGTTCCATAACTGAGGCATTTTAGTCCCCCAGCAAGGAAGGTGCAGTGATAAGGTTCAGTGGTACAGAAGGTACATCGCCTTGAATGGGAAGGAAATGGCTTGTATGGAATGGGAGTGAGTCTGGAGAAGCTCTGAGTACTAGAGCAAAAAGGGCTAAGTCCCCCAGGAGGGTAGGAGAGCAGACCTCAAGAAGTTTAAGTTCTCTCAAGGAGAAACAACACATACATAAGAAATAAAGTACAAAATAATTTCCTTGAGGAGGTCCTTCAGTTGGTCAATATGCACTTATTAAGCACCTGTTGTGTCCCAAGACTGTGCTAACCACTAGAGATAACCCCAAAAAAGGCAAAAGACAGTCCTTGCCCTCAAGGAGCTTACAGTCTAATGGGAGAGACAGCATATATGCACCCTGTACCAAAGTGGTGGCAGTTTCAAAGGAGAGAAGGAGTTGTATTCAAGAGATGTTGGAAAGGTGAAATCAACAGGCCTTGGCAACAGATTAGCTATAGAGGGGTAGAAGTAAGACATAATGAGGAGTCAAAGATGGCACCTAGATTGTGAGCCTGAAGGACTGGGAGGATGGTGGTGCTCTCAACAGTAATAGGGAAATTTGGAAAGGAGGTAGATTTGGGAGGAAACATAATGAGTTCGGTTTTAGACATTTTGATGTCTACTGGACATCCAGTTCAAGATATCCGAAAGGCTTTTGCAGATGTGAGACTGGAAGTCAGCAGAGCTTTTAGAGCCAAAATTTGAGAATCATCACCATAGAGATGAAAATTAAATCCATGGAATCCAATACCAAATAAAATGGCATAGGGGGAGAAGAGAAGAGGGCCCAAGTGCAGCCCATGCTGGAAAAGCAAGTCCAGGGGTATGGTAGGCTTCCTGTAGGAATGGCACTTGGACTGAGCTATGAAAGAAGTTAAGGATTCTATGAGGTAGAGGTGAAGAGGAGGATTCTTTCCAGGCATAGGGCTGGGGAAGTGGGGGGGCAGTCTGACAAAGTCATGGAAATAGGAGACTGCATAATGTATACAGAGAACAAGTTACCCAGTTTGCCTTGAACACGGCGTGCATGAAGGAGAGTAGGGTACAATAACCTGGAAAATAGCTGGATCCAGATTGTAAAGGGCTTTAAAAGCCAAAGAGAAAAGTGTATATGTTATCCTAGAGGCAAAAAGATACTGAATGGGTGAGTACCATGGTCAGACCTGTCTGTGCTTTAGGAATATCAATTTAGCTGCTGGGTGGAAAATGGATTGACGTGGAGAGAGACTGGAGGCAGGGGGACTAATTAGGATATTCTTGCACTAGTCCAGGTGAGAGGTGATGGGAGCCTGAACTAAGGTGGTGGCTGTGTTAAATGGAGAAAAGGGGACAGATGGATGCAAGAAATATTATGAAAGTAATATCTCCATGGACTGGAGTTGTTGCTATGGATTTGCAGTCAAGCCTGCTGAATCTGAGAGGTCCTGGACAGCTCCCCTGGGGAAAAATGAAGAGACCCTGCCAGGTGAAGAGAAGGGAACCCCGCAGCAAAGGGGTGCATGTGGGAGGGAAGGGGAGGTGAGCTTGGATGTGTGCATTTGTGGCTTACACTTATGTATGTGTTGACGCATGTGTGTTTTGGCTGTGAGGGTAGGTGTGGCAGGGAGGAACCAGGGCTGGCTTTGGTTGGTAGGCTAAATAAATACACAGGCCCTTTCAGTTCAAACAAGGACCCTCTGTGCACTCCCTGGGTTTGGTTTGGCAATTTGACCCTTGGGTAACTGAACATTGGAAACAACACCCAACACCTCTGAAAAAGACTGTGAGCAAAAGAATGACTTCATCCACCAATATAGGAACCTCCCTGAAACCTTCCCTCTCAGCCTGGGAGGCGTTATGGCATCTCTAAGTGAGAAGATACCTTAGAGGTCATCATATTCAACTTATACCCTATCATGTTAGAATATAAACTTATTTGTAAAAATCTTACAAAGAAGGATGTTGGAAGATTATAAGCAGCAGTATCTCAGAAAGCAAAGAGAAGCAATGGGAGATAAAACTAGCTTAAAGAAACCTTTGTGAGAGATCCAGCTAAACAAAGTCATCCCAGGGGCATTTAGGGATGAACATGGAAGGAGGACAGCAAACAGAAGAAAAATCAAAAAGATTTGCAAAAATCTTTATAACAAACTACTTCTCCATCAAAGACAGTGGTACCACCACATTTGGATCCAAATATCAGAGCCCTTAAGGTGCTTTTAAAGAAGGTAGAAATGACCCAAAAGAGAAAGATAGGAAAAGCAGCCAGTTAGGACCAATTCTAGATAGACACGATCCATCCTGAAAACAAAACAATTGCAAGATCACTAATATACAAAGTTTCTGAGGAAGAGGAAGATACCAAAGGCATGGAGAAAAAAAATCTCAGATCTTATTAATACCAAAAAGTCAACTAAAGAAAAATCAATAACTTCAGCCCCATATGCCTACTCCTCCATCTATATAAAATCTTTATGAATCATCAATATACAAATCAAAGCCTTCCTCAGTGAGGGTATTAGTAGGTAACAGGTAAGCTTTTGGAAGTGATACTCAGAAATGAACCACATCTTTGCTATTTCACAATTAAGTGAAAGGTTTAAGGCATATAAGCTCCCCTCTTGCTTATTGTTTGTTGATGACAAAAAAGCACTTGATTCTGAAGAACACAACGATGCTTTGCAGTATTGTTTACAAGGTGTCTCCCATCCATACATCAAGCTCATTCAAGATTCCTTGGAAGATATAACAGAGATAACCTTGTTCAATGACCCTCTAAGCATAGTCATTACATGAGGCATTAAACAGGGAGATGAAAGTTCACCAAACCCATTTGCCACTGTGATGAAGGAGATACATCACCGAGTCCAAGTTACATAGGGATTCCCTGCGGATGATAAAAATCCTCCAGGTCCTCCTGTCGGTGGCTGATATTGTGCCGACTACATCAAGGCTTGGAACATTGAAGGGCCTCCTGGAAGATATCTGTAATCACTCAAAGGATTCTGGCTTGGCCATCTACACAGCAATAGACCAAGTAGATGAAGCATATCATACTGCCCAGATTTCAAAATGCATTTGGATAGACACCCTAAAAAGCTTTCCAACAGTATGTATATCTGGAACAAACAGTAGAAATGGACAATTAAGTGGGCCTACAGTTGAATAGGAACAGAGCAGGCTCGGTTACAATTGGGAAATTGCAATGTTCCTTTACTGAGTCCACACACCCCGTGAAACACAAAGGCTCACCTTTTTAATACTCACATTTTACCAGTGTTACTATAAGGGAATGAGACGTGGAAAACAACTGCCTCTGGAGAATTAAAACATAAAGTGGAATTTATTAAATAAGGAATGATGGGTTTTCTTTCACAATATGACTAATATGGAAATATGTTTTGCATGACTGCACATGTATAACTAATATCAAATTGCTTGCCTTCTCAATGAGGCGGGAAGGAGGAAGAGATTTGGAACTCAACATTTTTTTTAAAAAAATGGTAAAAATTGTTTTTGCATGTAATTAGAAAAAAAGAAAATATTTTTTAAAAAAATAAGAAATGATATGGTCAGATCTGCACTTTTGGAAAATCTCTTTTGTTGCCATTATGGGGGCAGCTAGGTGGTGCAGTGGATAGAGCACCAAATGTGGAGTCAGGAAGATTCTTCTTCCTGAGTTCAAATCCGGCCTCAGACATTTATTAGCTGTGTGACCCTGGGCAAGTCACTTAACCCTGTTTGCCTCAGTTTCCCTGTCTGTAAAATGAGCTGGAG